TCGCCGAGCTGCTGCACGGGCCTCCTGCGCCCCCCGAGCCGCCCGCCAAAGCCGAGCTCCGCGGGGCCCCCTTCGAGCCGCCCGCGCCACCCCCTCCTCCGCCGCCCCGTGCCTCGCCCCCCGCGCCCGCCAGGACTCGCTTCTCCCCGGCGGCGGCCGCGGGCGGTTTCGCGGCTCAACTCGAGCCGCTGCGCTTCCCCTCTTTCCCTGCGCAAAAAGCGCCTTCTCCCGCTCTGCTCCTGGGGCCGCCCGCGCCGCAGCCGCCCGAGAGGAGCAAAGCGTCGCCGCGCTCTCACCGCAGCGACGGGGAGTTCTCGCCGCGCTCCCACTACAGTGACTCGGACGAGGCCAGCTAGGGGGCTGCGGGGCCGCGCCTCCCACCTGCCCGCTGCCTCCGGGGCCGCGTCGTTACGCCGCCGCGCAGTTGCTCCTTTCAGAGTTTCCATTGCCCAGAAGTCGCTGCCGTCCCTTCCTGCCAACGCGGGGCGAGCATCGCCGCGACGTCCGCCCCGTGCCGTCCCCGCAGAACGCACCCCGCAGACGGCGCTCCCTGCGAGAGCGCGGCGCAGAGCACTTTATCAGCGGCGGAGACGGAGGCGCGGAGGAGAGCCGCCGACTGCCAAGAGAAGCCCCGCGCCGCGGTGGGCGCCGATCCGGAGAAACGCGAACTCTTCGCTCGTGTCAAACTTTTATGTTCGTTTTATTTCGCTTTTGTGGTAATAGGAAACTTATTTATTACGGAGTGTTTGCTACTATTTCTGCTTTCTGGTTGTTTGTTTTTTTTTGTTGTCTTTTTTTTTTTTTTAAACAAAACTTTTCTACGACGAAAATCGTTTATTTGAATTTTAGCCCAGCCAACTGCCACTGGTTTATGTATTTTTATTTTTTTTTCCCGAGATCAAATAAAGATGGAAAAATAAAAAGGCGAAGCGAAGCTGCGGTTCCCCCTTCTCCCCGCACACTCCGTGCCAGGACGTGGCCCCGTCCTCGCAGCACGCGGATCACCCCGCCTTCCCCCCTCCCCACGCCGAAACGGGCAGCGAGTGCAGCCCGCCGCAGGTAGTCCCGCCAGTGGGGCCGGGCCGGGCAGAGCAGGCGCTGCCCGAGTCGTGCACCTGTCCCGCGGTAACCAGCAATCGCTCGGCCCTCGGCACAGAGCGGCCGCACGGGGCCGGGGCGGCCCCACAGGGTGAAGAGTTCAGCGGGACAGTTTCCCCCCCCCGTTCTCCCTTCCCAAAGCGCTGGAGGAGGGAGCACCTTTCGTTGCCGGGGCCGTGTCTTGCCGGTGGGAGGGGGGTGGAGGGGAGAGGAATGCGGCGAGGAGGAACTGGAAACCCAATTACTCAGTTTAATTTTTTTGGAGAGGTGGAGGACCAGAGCTTTATTTTATTTTACTTTCTTTCATGGTGTTGGTTTATTTGTTTCCTCTCTCTCTCCTTTCGTTTCGTACTCTCTCGTTGTGTTTTCCTCCCCACGAACCGGCGGCGGTACTTCTGCCGGCACGATGCGGCCGGGCCGCGCAATTGGAGCGCAACCATCGCGCATCCGCCCTCCGCCCTCCCGGCACCGGGGTTCCCCCCCGACAGCGGAGCGCACCAGATCCTCAGCTCTCGTTGTCTGAGGTTGGTTTTGTTTTTTGTTTTTTGTTTTTTTCTTCTCCTTTCTTCCTTTCTCTCTTCTCTTCTCTTCTCTTCTCTTCTCTTCTCTTCTCTTCTCTTCTCTTCTCTTCTCTTCTCTTCTCTTCTCTTCTCTTCTCTTCTCTTCTCTTCTCTTCTCTTCTCTTCTCTTTTTCTTTTTTTTTTTCTTTTTTTACTAACACATCTCTGAAAGAGATGCGCAGCGCATTTCCATGTTGAGGTTCAGCCCCGGAGTTTGCATAACAACCGCTTGGCAGCCCCCTCTCACTCCCCCCGTTAACAAGCTGGAACGTAGAGCTGCAGGTTGCTCTAATCTCATTAATATTTTGGAAAGTTGAATATTGAGCGTTTCGGAGCGCTCATTCCCCATATGCCGGGCCGCTCCCGCTATGCTGGCTGCTTCCTTTCTCTCCATTATTAGCAATTAGCTCCTACCTTCCAAAGTGGGATCCAAGTATCCAAGATACTAGCAAAGGCATCAACTCTGCCGTGCAAGCTAAGCACGCTCCCAAACAAACAAAGAGACAACATTTCTTTAAGTAATGAAGATGGATAAATCGCTTTATTGAGCTCGCGACAGTGTTTGTTTTGCACGGACGAGCGCGAAGTTTGCGAAGTGGAGAGCGCGCACTTCGCTGCTGCTTTGCTTTGTGCCATTTTTATCACTTTTTGAGGCATTTCCTTAATGCGAGTGCGTTCGATTTTGATCAAATACTCATTTTTCTTCGAGGTGCGGTTCTCCGGCTACTGTTTGCCCAACCTCTAGCCCCGGGGATAGAAAGAAGGAAGGAACAGGGGAGAAAGGGTTAACACCGGCGCTTCTTAATTAGAGCGGGGCGGACAATGCGGCGGGGCGGCCCGGGGGGGGCTGGCCGCGCTCCCGGCCGCGGTGCGCCGTGTCTGGAGCGGAGCACGCGCTGTCAGCTGGTGAGCGCGGCGCGGCGGCCTTTCAGGCGGCGCCCCGGGGAGCTACGGCCCGCGGGGAGCTCAGCCGTGCCCCCGCCCCCGTCCCGGCAGCCCGCGCTCGGGTCTTCCCCCGTCCCCTCCTCGCCTCGCCCGATGAGCGACCAGCCGTCGAAGAGGGATACAAAAGGGAAAAAGCAACGCCTGCTTGCGCGGGGGGGTCTCGTGTGTGTGTGCTCCCGTGGCTCCTCTCTAGCCCCGTGCACGCGTGGGGCGCCGGAGGAGCTCTCGAGGGACTCCCGGCTCTCTCATCTGCTGCAAAGCGATGCGATAGGACCGCCGCTCCCCTGCAGGAATGTCACCCGCGGGGGCCGTGCAGAGCCCCCACGACCCCTCCCCGCCGAGGGCAACCCCCCTCTGGCTCGTTTCCGAGGAAAGCAGAGAGCCCCTTCCGAAGGGCTATCGGGTGGCTATCGCCTTTGGGAGCGCGGCCCGGACGTGTCAACACGGCGAAGCGTTTCCTCGCTGCCCCCGGTGCCTTTGTGCCGTGCGCTCCATCCCACCCGTCTCGGGATGGGGACACGGGAGACCTTCACACCGGGCTGCAGCCGCTAGGAGCTGTGCCCCCTGCGCCAGGCAGGGAAACCGAGATCTGGGTCTAGGAGAGCGACATTCGGGGCTGGGAAAACGAGTTTTGGGGCTGGCACAGCAAATCGCACTCACAACGGTCCAGTTTCCCATTCATCCAAACTTCCTTCTTTAACGTTTGCTGTATTTGTGCTTAATCGTTGTAATCCCCGTGTTCTCTCGCCCGCCCTGGTGCGCGCTCCCGCGCACAAGCCGGGATAGCGACGCGCACCCGAGCGGTGCTGCCGCTTTTTATGGAGCGGTTAATCAACTGCGCATCAGCGAGACAGCGCATCAGCCCATCTGCTTGATATATATTCAGGAGGGCTCCAGCCCTTTTGAAGTCTAATTTCTTCCCCGGGAGAACGCGCCGGGTAATTTACCATCATTTCATACGCATCGCGGCCACCGAATTAACCCTTTCCCCAAGCGCTGCCCGCACTGGATTTTCCTCCTGAAAACCTCCGGGTTCAATGCTACAAACTTGTCCGAGTGTCTCTTCGATGATGCTCATTGAAATAAAGAGACCTCAGCCCACCGGCATCGTAACCCCTTGGATTTGTTAGATTAGAAGGGAGGGGATGTTAAAGATCTGCTTGGGATAAGCAAACGCTTAGAACCGCCCATGCCAATGCGCATCACTTCATCCTCAACCAGCTACTGCTAGCTTTATTTTTAAGATCTTTGGGATATTTATTTATTCATTTATTTATTTATTTATTGCAGGACCCAGCCCCAGTATGAGCAGGCACCCCTTTTCTGTTATCTGCAATAAATGCCATCTCCTGCAACAGCTTTTTTGGGTTTTTTTTTTGTTGTTGTTGTTCTTTTTTCCAAAGCCTGTTTATAAAAGGAGGGACACGGGGGGGGGCTTGTGTTTCCATGCCACACAAACACTGCCTTGAGAGAAGGCTCCATGTGTGGGTTTAGGCTGCCCCAGGGGTAAGGACGAAGGTGGAACTCCGGAAACCAGGGATCCCTGTCAGGAGTGGGCACCAGGCTCTTTTATGCTGCATTTTAAAAAGGCAAAAGAAAGTGGGCCAAATGCTCCCATACAATTGGATTTCTTTAAATTTAAGGTCCCCTTGAGCCTAAGCAATTCTCTGATGTCAATTCCTGTAATAGAAGTTTCTCTTTTATTATTTGTATCCCACCCATTTGCATGCTCCTTTTTGTTTTTCCCTTCATCTTCCTCTGGCTGGTACTAATGCTGAACTAAATCCCAGTGTGTTAAGGATGGTCCATCAAAATGCTGGCTGTGGGCTGACAGCTGGGATGACTTGTTGGATCACTTCCACACCTATGTGCTTAACCCTACAGCAGTCGTACAGCTGAGAGCTTGCCCAGATTGTCGGCCAGCATCCCTTGTCAGGAGTGCTGCTCCAGTTCTCAGATCCTCAAAGCTGCTCCCTGTGTCCTATTTGTGGCAAAAGACATAGGACCTACCAGGGTTAGGTGACTTCTAGTATCAGGGCAAGAGCACAGGTTGTGTGTCTTCTTATGCTTCTTGCACTATGCATTTTTTCCCCCGTCCCTTAGGAAGTATTTCCAGTGAGGAGAGTGTTCAACACTAGGGATGCTGCTTTCCTCCATTACAGATCTGGTTCATCTGGGCTCTGACTCTTGTTGGGGCCCTACTTCCTCCTGTCCTGGGAAGCAGGATGTAAAACAGATGCCTTACTCCAGCTTTAGTTTGTTGTTTGGAGTGGGCTGAGAGGGAGGAAAGAGCAGACGTTTCTGTTATAGGGCATAGTTGAGGAAGCCTTGGGAAGGTTGGCAGCTGCAGGGAGCTTCATCAGACAAGTCGTTCTTCCCACCTGTAGCTTGTTCCCTCCCCAGAGTCCATAAAGATCACTTGGAGGTGAGAAGCCTTGAAATAGGGCTGCATGCACTGTTTCTTTTGGATTTTTCTCCTTGATGTGGGTGTTGGCTGGAGGTTTCTTGTTGGAGAGAAGGAAAGATGCATTCTGATGTGCAGAGGTATCCACAGGCCTTGATCATATTTCAGGTAGGAAGGATAGTTGTGGTTTGGCTTTTTTTTTCCTGAAGTTACCAGTGCTGTAATGTTTGTAGTCAGACTAGAATAAATGCAGCTAGGCTTGTGCTGTTCTGTTGTATTGCTTACCAGACTTTTTTTTGTTTAAAAAAAAAAAAAAAAAAAACTATGTAGTTCTTTTATGTGATCACAACAGGTGTTCTGGATGAAATCAGTTACAATTTTATTACTCAGGGGAGCCAATTAACCCTATTCTTTTCTGTGTTGAAAAGCATCCTAAAAGCTGTTTGTTTAAGAGGGCTTGGGGAAAAAAAGTTTGGCTATGTGAGAGTGGCAACTGAGACAGAAGGGCTTTGAATTGTCACTAGAGGTTTTGGAGTTTGCTTATTGGGAAAAGAGATAAATGCTCTGAAGTGTTGCTGGCTCTTATTCTGGGGTTAGCAAGAAACGAGATCATAGAATCATAGAATCACTCAGTTAGGAAAAGACCTTAAAGGCTATTGAGTCCAACCATGACCTAACCATGCTAAACATACTACTCTTATCACTTCATGTGAGTGTTGTTGCTGCCTGTGGCACAGTTGCAGGGGAACTGGCCCAAGCACTATTCATAGTTAAAGATGGCTTTGGGTGCTCTTGTTACCTAATCCTGCAAAAGCTACTGGTGCCTCTGTGTTGAGATAATCTGCTTTACCCATTTACCCATTTTTGCCTGGGCTCCTTTATGGTGCTGGAAACTCAGAGCTGTGTTTTTTAAGGGGGCTTTCACAACCTTGGCCTGCAGTTTTGGGTTGCTCTTGGAGATGGGATGTGATTCTTCTATGGAGGTATTCCTGGACCTGTAGTGCTTTGTGCATGGGAGTTCACGACAAAAGCCCTAGAGCACAGCCTTTCCTGATGCTCACACAACCAGGCACCTTCCAGCATTGGAGAGCATGGTTGGGTATTCAGCTGTAGAAGTGTGTGCTGGAGGAGCAAACCTCAGTGTAAGACTGGCTGAATAGAAGTTTAAAATGTTGATTTCAGTATTTTTGTCACCATTCCAACCATGGGGGGAACTGATGTTTGGAAGGTAAACTTCTGTTTTTGGTTTCCTTTTGTTTTCCAATGAAAGCAGAGCAAACAGAGGAGTATAATCCTGGCCCTAGTGAAAGCAGTGTGTCAAATATTATAATATTGGAACAATATTATAATTTCATATGGTCATAAAAGCAGAGAGTAATAAAAGTTATTCTCTATAAAGGAAACAGGAAACATGAAAGGTGAGCATCTCAATCCAGGCTTATGGCTCATGAAACCACTCAGAGGTTTTTCTTTTGTTCTGTGGCAGTTTGCTGTATAGTAGATGAGGAAGAGTCAGCCTCTTCCTTCTTTCCATAAACACTTATGAAAAAGAAGAGATACTAATGGGTGTGTTTTGCAGTCATGTATATTATACTCTGTGCACACCTACAGAACGGTGTGGGGATGTGGCCCAAAGATTCCTGAAATACCTGGTGGTACAGGACCATGGTGCATGCAGAAAATTGGCAGATTAAGCTGGATAAATCTATTCAAAGTCTGCAGCAAATACTGGAAACAAGTAGCTTGTGTCATCCTTTGACATAACTTTTTATTTATATAATAATAAAAGCAAACAACGGAAGAGAAAGGATTATCTAATCTGGAAGCTTTATTATGGAAGTATCAGTTTTGGTGGATCTCAATCAAATTAGAGAAATGTAAATGAAAAGTATAAAGTCAAGGTGTCTGGCTGAAAGGAAAAAAAAAATCCAGAGAGACAATTCTGAGCACTGCCATGCTCCACCAAAAAATTTGGGGTATTTACATATCGATCTCAGTTTGTATTTCCTGCAAATTGTTACTGATAAAGCAATCTGGTTCTGAAAGGCCTTTAAATGCCTTTTTACCTATCTTTTTCCAGCTCATTTGTTTTATAATGCTATTGGCTTTCTGGTGAAGTTATTTGAGGTTTTTTTGTTTTGTTTTTAAATAATTGACGCTCTCAGAAAAATCTTTCATTGGAACAAGAAACATTAAAAAAATAAAACAACTGTTACTTAGTATACTAATAATGGCAGCATTGGATACTTGCGTTGATTAACTTTGTTTTTTTCCAAATCTTCCTCTGAATTCAGTTTTGGATTTTGATCGTACTGAATTGGCTTGAACCTGAATGTTAGCATCTGGTCTGTGGTGAGCTTTTTAAAGGCATTAGCTCTACTTTTGGAGCTTTTTGGGAAAAAATAGTGAACTGTAGTGTCATAGTCTTTGCCGTTTCAAATTTCCCTGTTGCATTGCATTATCTAGGGAAAAATATGTAATAATGACCTCACTGCTTCTAAGTAGAGGGCTACAAAATTGCCAATAGGAAATTCCTGTGTTAGGTGTGCTGCATACCTGATATGAAAACCTTGGAGCAGTTGCACTGTCCCCTTTCACAGCATCAACGTGAAGGCCCCCAACATCAGCAGGATGAGTAGTTTGGCCGAAAGAAAGTGAGTTTAAGTACAAGGCTTTTGTACTCTGCCTGTGAGGATACAGTTAAGTGTAGAAAAAATAAGGTAACCTTTGAAGTTGCCTAGAAGCTGCTGTCTTGATTAATTTAAAATTTTAGTTTTACACACCCTGCAATAAACTTTTATTTACGTTTTATTGCAACTGAACTTCACGTCTTTTGTGCTTACCTAATATTAGTGCCGTAACTGCTGAGGCAGGTGAATCAACAGAGGGAAGTCTAAACTGATTCAGAAATGGCCATAAAACCACTTGAGTAGCGCTAATAAACTTGCCCGGATTGCTCTCCTATTAGCTTTAATCCTGGCTTCCAGCACTGACTCTGGTGATGGAGCCACGGAAACTTTCCACAAAGGGTTATTTGATAAAGAGGATGCATGAAGGTCTGACGTGTGCTGGTCGAGTGGGTGGCAAGTGAGCAGGCTAACTGTGGAGCTGCTGGATGACGCTTGATTTTTTTAATTATCATTTTATTTTATTTTTTGTAAGCTCCCCCCCCGCCCCCCTAGGAATTGTTATATTGACTTCCCTGTCAGACCGCCCTCGCTGTGCGTGATGCGGGCGCTGTCCATGGTACCCCTCGGCTGGTGGGCGGCTCTGCTCTCGGCGGCCTTCCATTCCTTGAGAGAAAAATTCGGGGTCTCTTTCCCTTTTCCGGGTCCTATGCTTCCCTTAAAATATATATATATATATAAAAATAATAATAATAATTAAAAAAATTGTCTATAGTCACTGATTCCTTTTTCCCTTCCTGCTAGCACAAACTCCTACAAACAACCTTTTTCCAGATTGTTCAACACATTGCGTTTTTAATCTATGCAGCAGCTATAGCTGTAAGACCTGAGTAACAGGTGAAGCTGCTGTGGTTTAGCCTGTCAGGCAGCTTAATACTACATAGCCATTTGCTCACTCACCTCCACAGGCACAGGGAAGAGAAGTGGAGATAGTGGCACGGGGTAGGAATGAAAACTCATTAGTTGAGATAAGGGCAGTTTAATAGGAAGGAAAACTGTGGTAGAACAGACAAAACAAGTGTTGCACAATGCAGCTGTTCCCTGTCAGCCTGCCTATGCTTAGCCAGTCCCCAAGCAGCATCTGTCCCTCTGGCCAACACCTCCACTCTTATTTTTTAATGTGATGTGAAATATTATGGAACATTCCTTTGTCCAGTTTGTGTCAGCTGTCCTAATTCTATCCCCTCCCATCTCCTTGTGCATCCCCAGCCTCTTTGCTGGCAGAGCAGTGTGAGAAGCTGAAACATCCTTGGGTTCTGTGCAGCGGTGCTCAGCAACAACTAAAGCATTAACAATGCTTTTCCCGTACTAAATCCAAAACTAAGTACCATATCAGCTACCAGGAAGAAAGTTAACTCTATTTCAGCTGAATCCAGAATGGAAGCTTAGAAACTTATAATGCACAAGAAGGCTTTTTTTTTTTTTTTTTTTTTTGCTCTGTTGATTTTCTTTTTTTTTTTTTTTTTTGTAAATTGTGTAAGAATCTTCTAATTATGATGTTAATGGCAAAAATGAACTATATTATTCTCATCTGCATGCATTTCATTTATGAGCATTTACATAAAATGAAACCTCTATGAAACAAATGAAACATGATTCCATGATTCTTTACTTCACTCTGAGTATTTTTCTTTAAAGGTGAAAGCTTTATGTAACAAATGTTGAAAATATCTATCTTAGACAGTTGAATCTTTAGGGGTGTTGTATATTGAGATCTGTGATTTGATGATTTCATTTAACAATGTTTTCCAAAAAGAAGAAAAAAAGGAAAAATGATCAGAGCTGACGTACTTCAAAGACATTTTGTCATCAGCCCAAAAGATTTGCAAATCTGATAACCCCAAAGCTTCTAGATAAAATGCCAACATAAATAGGTAAATAAATACAGCACAGGTGTTTGAAATCAAAGAAAGTCTCTCCTTGCTTTTCTCAGTTCCCCGTTTTGCTAGATAGTGTGAAACAGCATCTCTCTGCTGCAAGCTGACATCAGTTAGGAGACGTTAGCAGGTGCTGCAAATCAGAAGGAGGACTTATTTGGTCTGGCTCTATGCACGTTGCACTGACAGGGGTAAGTAGAGAAGTTATAGGCAAAGCCTTTGCTCTTTCTTCCTTTAAAAGGCTTTGTTTCTTAGAAGTCTGTGAAGCCTAAATTAAAAAATTCAGTTGATTGATGCGGAGTAATAATTTTGTCTGAAATATCACAAAGTTTTAGTTACCTGATCCTTCTTTGAAGCTCTCAATATTTGAAGCTAGAGTGTTTTGTAAACTTGTTTATCAGCTTAACTTTATCATAAGGAAGCAGCCTCTCCAGACCTCATTCTCTCTGGTCCTTTTCTGTTCATACAACTCAAGTGAATTTACATTGGCAAAAGTTTCTGTTTGAATTGCCTCTGTGTAAGGAGAATCCTGATAGCTCATGGCAGGCAGTGAAAGATCCATTTCCTTGTGTAGTGGCCCCACTTCAGGATGTTAACTTTTCCTTAGCTGGAGCACAGCCTCTCACAGGAGAAACAAGAAGTAAATTGAATGGAAAGTGCAGTATGAGAGGGCTTTTTTCCATAGGGAGTAAGAAAGGAGATATGGAGGTATATTACAGGTTAAAATAAAAATAATGGCATCAGCAGCTACAAGAGAGAAACAACCTGTAAAAGCGAGGTTTTATCAAAATAAGAAAACCTTGGTGATGTGAAATATCTTGGATTTGCATTTATCTTGTGAAGCAGCATGCTAGATGAAATTGTTTGCTTTGTGAATTTTATTATGATATCAGAAGGAAAGAAATATTGGCAGTGTATTGAAAAAGCATGTGATTCATTCCAGTGTAAGAAATGATGGCAGATGCTTCTGTCTCAGATCCATAGTGAAACAAGAACTTTTAATCCTCCTAGAAATTGTAGGTAAAATTTCATTTTCAGCTTGAACTGGTGCAGGAATTGGAAGCTGCAATAGGATTCTTGTTTGTACTTCTCTGCGTACCTGTGCTTTGCTCAGACATGGTTGAAAATAGTTTGTTTACTTTTTTCATTGTTTATATTATGATAACATTGGCAGTGAGCAGGTGAGTGCTGGAACAACAAGGGTGTAGCTCTTTATTACCGTAAGTCATCTTTAGGCTCATAAATAAGCCTTTGGAATTGAATGAGATTACTCAACTGTGCAAGAGTGTACAGGATGTGCCCATAAATTGAATTAAAACAAGCTACCAATGTAGTTAGAAACAAAGATCTGTTGCATGAAGTAAGAGCTCTTCTTGATGTTATAAAATAATACTAGAACAGCTGTAGAGTTTCATATTGGTGTTAGTGCTTGAAGTTCAACTTCATATTTCTAAGTTTGGTGAATTTTGCATATGCAGTTTGTGTGAGCAGGGCTCTACAAACATCTGTCAAACAGAGGAGTGTTTTTAGCTTACTTAATGTGAGAATGTATCTGAATGAAATGGACAGAAAGTGAGTTGACTGAATCCTTGAGGGTCTTTCTCACACTGCGTGAAATACCACCTCATGGTATTGAGAGAAACTTGCAGAAATGCATCTTAGCTATGTAAGTTGAACTTCTAGATTGTAAAACATGCATCTCCCTCCAGAAAGAATGCATCCCTTACCAGTTGGATACTTAAAATATAACTACTAAAGTACTTTCATTGTTAGTAATTTTGTTTTCATGTTTGTTGGATCACATGGGACATCTTTGCATGCAAAAAAAAAAAAAAAAAAAAAAAAATCAATGAAAATAGGACAGTTAATTTCCTTTAATTAGAAACACTCTTCTCATATTTGTAGACATACCTGTTAATTTGCCAGCACAGCAGTTTTGCCTGGCACACAAACTATACATTAAATGGACTGCTCCTGCAACTCTATGTGAACGTTCTACTGGAAGGCTCCCAGGCAATGGTGCTGGCAGTGGATGCTTGTTTTTGCTACATTGTCATCATACAGATTGTTTCAAGAGCCCTATAACCAAATAAATGCCTACTCAGTCAGCAGATGTAGATTTGAAGGAGTAGGAAGAGCCCTGTACAAAGTGCTGCATCTCTGAAAATTAGTGTAGCTATACATATGTGTGCATGCTTTTTTTTGTTTGTTTGTTCCAGCCTAAAAAAGTTGTGAAGTTCTTACTTTAAAAAAAAAAAAAAAAACAACAAACAAACAAACAAAAAAACACTTTGACTTCAAAGGATCTTCATTTGATACTGGTACCACTGAAAGTTTTAGTCTCTGTTGTAATAGGAAAACAGGGTGTGGCAATAGAAAAGAAAAATCAACTAAACATTCTTCCAGCATAAGGAGTCAGAATATAGATTTATTCACAATTTTACTGTAAATTCAGTTGTTTTGGGTTTTGTGCAGGTTGGAATGCTCTTGGCATTAGTTCAGTTTCTTTTCAAACGGATGTTTTTTGAACAGGCAATAAAAAGTGAGTACACATGACAGGGCGTGCACTCAGCTGCCCCATCCACGTGTCTTGGTCACAGGGCATGAGGCCATAGGAGCATAACGTATCTTGCAGTGTTTCAATAGTAATATAACATGTATTTTATGGCTGAAATAAAACGCAAAGAATTTCCTTCTGAAGTTTTATGTAGTGCATGTGTAACAGAATAGAGGGGAAAAAGAGTTAGAGTTTCTGATAAGTTAATTTTTTTTCTTAGTTACATTGGTAAAAGCATGAATTAAAAATCAAGAAGCCCTGAATGGCACACAGGTGGATATAATTTCTTCAAAGATGTCTTTGCACGTTTCTTGCTAGTGGGAAGTCTTTAACAGCTGGTTCCTTAGAAATCCTCTTACAAAGATCTCTTGACAGAGTTCTGAGAAATTTAATACTCTAACAACTTAATTTTCTTTGCTTTTAATGAAAAGATTAGAAATGTTTAGCTGCTGGATTTAACTGGCAAGCTAAGAAATTGCATTTCCTTAACAGAAGATTTCCCTACAAAAATGTTTTGTTTTTTGAAAATGTAGGTAAGATATGACTGTTTAGATTTATTACATAGACGTGATACTAACATTACTCCTTTCTATTTCCCCTGAGTATGTCTCTCTCGTTTTCTTAGGGCTAGTCAAACTCCAGATGCTAATGTTGTGTATTCTGAAGTCTCTCTAGAAGTGTCTGGTCTTATCCCTTTATTTAATTCAGTTATTTCATAGTAACCTCATGCCAGCCATGTCTTCTTGCTGCATCTTAGGTTTTCATGTTTCCCTATATCTTTCTTGGGGGGGTGGGAGGGGGAGTAACACAAAAAAACAACAAAAAAACCACATTCAGGCTCTTCTCTTTATCTGCCATACACCTATGTCATCTTTCATCAGCTTGTTTCATCCATGATGGCAAGAGGCTTTCAACTTTCTTCCCATTTCTTTCTTCAAGTTAAAGCCCTATTCTATTCTCTTTAAATTTATTTTTTAATGTTTCATAGCATCTGTCATTCAAAAACTATGAATATCTTTATGTGCTTAGATGAAATAAGCTGAAGAAGCCTGCTGGATTGTTTTGACTTGACATTTCCTTTTTAGATGTGATAGGACCCAACCCAGCTGCTTGTCTAAGCTCTGTGATACTGACAGGAATGGACCTAGAACTCCTGACTCAAAGTTGAGCATCCAACTGCAGCAACTTAGACTCCAGAAGCCAAATTATTGGAAATATGCTGTCTCTTGTTGAAATACTACAGGTGTTATTTTGACTGGAATTTGTTCAGTTGCCAGGCTTAGCCCCGGACTGATGGTATCCAGAAACTGGTGCCAAGGGCTCACATCCCACTGGCCTCTCTCCATGTCTTCATCCCTCTTGTCCTAACAACCAAGCACTCTGCTGTTTAATGCTGAACTTTTCATAATTAAACTTGTCAGAATTTTCTAATTAAATAACAACTCAGCATTGTGAGCCTGTTGAAGGAGGGACTGCCCCTCTCTGCTTTATCATGATGCAACCTCACCGTAAGCACTTTGTGCACCATGTTTGGGCTTCCCAACATAAGGAAGATATAAAACTGTTAGAAAACATCCAAAGAAGGAGGCTGTGAGGACAAGATGTGTGAGGAGCAGCTGAGGTCCCTGGGTTTGTTCAGCCCAGAACAGAGGTGTCTGTGGAGAGGCCTCATGGTGGCCTACAGCTCCTTGTGGAGAGCAAAGGGGCAGTGCTGAGCTCTGCTTTCTGATGACAGTGACAGGATCTGAAGGAACAACATGGAGCTGCATGGGATGGTCAAGTTGGGCATTAGGAAAATGTTCTTCACTGAGAGGATGTTTGGGCATGGAGTGGGCTCCCTAGAGCAATGGGCACAACCCTAAGTTCACTGGACTTAAAGAAGCGTGTGGACAACCCTTTCAGAAACATGGTTTGAATTTTGGTGGCCTTGTGTGGAGCCAAGAGGGGGACTCAATGATCATTGTGGGTCCCCTCCAACTAGACATATTCTATTGTTCTATGAACTCTGTGGGAAGAAAATGTTGTGCTATAGAGTACTTTGTAAGCAATACTGCAGAAAGCCTCTTAGCTTCAAATAATTTCCTTGATATGCAGGTAGGCATTGTATATTACTGAGACCCTGTAACTCTGTTGTGGCTAACAGTAATGGACTGTGCAGCTCTTCTGCTTTCCTACTGTTATGAAGGCCTTCTGATGTGGGTGGCTCTAGGGGAAGTCTCTGATGTCAGGTCCATCATTAATCCGGACTGGAGAATGTTCTTGAAATTTCACATAGGATGGATTGGGGGCTCTAGATTTTCTTGAGGTGACCTGGATGGGTGACAGTTCTGGGACATAGCCCACGACTGATCTGTCCAGAGCATGGCAGCTGCTGTAAGAGCTGCTATTTCTGTCACTGCACAGGCACAGCACAGCGTAAATTTCATTGCAGAACTTCTGAGGTGGCTTGTCTGAAACCTTGACTCTTCCTGAATATCAAATGAATAGGCACTGGAACCAAATTAAATTTTCAGATAGTGATTTTTTCCAGCCAGCTTGACTAATTTCTTTCTCTTGAATGTGGAGAATTTGCAACTAATTTACCGTGTTGTTGAATGTTCTGCCAATACACAAGACTCTGAGCCTTTAAGGTGTTGGGCATTGCAAGGAATCAGACCCCAAATTAATTGACTAAGAGAATAATTTCTTTGTTATTTGTCATGAAGTGTGAATTTGGGTTTCTTTTGAAAAACATCAAATCTAAATTACTTCTATTTTAAACATTTTACATAACAAAATGTAATCTTAGCTTCACATTTTCTATTTCATTTATCTCCTTTATTGTCACGTACTCTATCAGTAAGGCTACAGTAGGTGATGTATTTAATTATAGGTATGTTTATTTAACAACTTCATAATGATATGTAGCTGTGTTTACGTGATATCAATCAGTGGGATAAATGCACAAGTGTTTCTTTAACTTCTCAAACCATCAATAAAACCAAAAGCCCATTTTTTTCTGGTTGAGGATCATAAAATTTCAACTGCATGGGTATTATATGAACAATATGAAGGTCATCACCATTAGCCTGTATGCAAAAGCCCTCTTCAGCATGTTTAAACAAAGCTGATGTCCATTCAACCCTGTATAATACTTGAACACTCCTGCCTATTACTGCAGCCAAAGCTCTGGTAACTCTCCAACGTGGCATGAAAAAGAAAACTGAATGCCTAACATCTGAATTTAATGGCCTGTTTATTTTACTCCAGATTGCATTCACGTTGTTCATTGTTGCAATCTGAGCAACTTGAGCTTCCTTATGCAGATGTAGAGGAATACATCTGGGAGAGGCTGTCAATGTTCTGGCCTCTGGTTTCCACCAACAACTTGAACAAAAATGCTGCAAGTATGAAGTAATGGAAGCAAGAAGAGGGCTAGATCTTAGTTTAGATGCTGAGCTTGAATATGAAAAGCAGTCTTTAGAAGTCTGCACTAAAAGTAAAAATTAACCTCCTTAGTCCCAGCTTTTGTTGCAGAGCCTGGAAGCTGAAGTTCATTCCTGCATAGAGGGCTGTGTGCGTTCATGCAATGGCTCTGCAGTGTGGGGTTTTGTATGCTGCAGTTCACTGTGGTTTGGAACAGGGCTCATCTTGTGGTATTCGTGCATTGATTGACAAAATCTGGTAGTACAAGTGGTAAGGGAACATGAATGTTCTGCAGAGCTTGAGGGATGTAGAATTAAGTGAGGCTTGTGAAAGGTGGAAAGATGTGCTGAGAGAAGACAGTGTAGGTTGGTGCTGGGAAACAAGTGATGCTTTGGAAACTGTTAATGGCATTTGCATTGATATATATATTTTTTTCTTGCTGCTGTGGTTTTTGTATGTGGACTTTAGTATTTCTTCATAAAGACAGAGCTGGACATATTAGATTTTGTTATGTAACAAATGCTAAAAAAAAAAAAAACCTGCAAGTAGATAAATATTATAGCTCATGTTAATGTGACCTCTGACCTTATTACACTTTTATTTGCTCCCATTTCTTTCGTTCAAACGTGTAAGTGATATCAAGGCCTGTAAACCAAGCTGCTGAAATAAACTAGAAAATGGCATAGACAAGGCAGGAGAAATGGTCTGGGAGGGATTTGGCTGCAGGTTATCAGCCATTAATTATTCATGTGGTAAACAATGAGGGAGTGCAAAAGCAGTCAGACTAGGTAGGCAGAGGATTAGGTTGTAAGATAATAGAGATAAGGGCAAATAAGGAAAAAATCCTTAGCAAATAAAGCTGAATATTATTCATAACTGTCACAAGCCTTCTTATACAGTAAAATAAAATACCAATGAATTATTAATGGCTTTTTTTTTTTTTACCAATTAAGGTAATTGCACCAGTGTTTGACGTCAGAGTTGGACATGACTCATAAAGCCAAAGATTTGCAAAATGTCAACAAAAGGCATAATTTGGGGAAATGGCTGCAAGAACTTTTGGAGTTCTTGGAGTTAGGCAAAAGGAGGGAGTACTAATTAGAGGGGAAAAAAAATGTGGCCATAATGAGCTTCTGTCTTTTGTGGTTTTATGCTATTAGCATGCCTGAGACCACTTATTTGTTACTCTCAACGGCTTATGTATGTATCAGTCTTCCTGTCAATGGCTTTCAATCAGTATCCATGCAAAAATGCTTGTGTTAAAGATTTCTCAGCAAAAAGAAATTGACAGCAAGAAACATAAGGGTAGAAATAACATAAAATATACCCAAGCTACCCTTTAGCCTGAAAGGTCTCATCTATGTTCTCCAGGCAAACGTAATACTGGTAGGTAACCATTCCTTAATCTTACTGCTGTTTAGTAAGGGCAGAGGTCTGTTTTGCCAGAAGAAAGTAAATGCTGTAAATGATGATATTGTATCTCACTTGTGCATAATGACATAATGAAACAGGTTCCTGAAAGGTACCGTTTAGCTGTGAGGGAAATTGTTCCTGGGTCATGTATTGGGGCTACTGCTGTAGGTGGGATCCATCAGGCCACAAGGGAGGAAAAACCCAGTGAGGCTTGCTAGGATGTCATATCCCACACATCCCATTCTTTGTGCAGTACCTGCTCATCCACTGCGGGTGGGAGGTTTTGGCATGCTTTTGGCTCTATTTTCCAGGAAGTTTTGGCATTTTTCAGTATTCTAAACTGCAAATTAAATGTAAAACAGGAATTTTAGGTTACATCAATAGCCCTAAAGATTTAGATGCAAGCTCTGTAAAATGTATGCTTGGTGGCTTAGTGATGCTCTTGTATCTATTAAATTGTTCTGTGTTATGACTGTAGGTAATATTTTCAACTGATAGCAACAAAGCATAAAATGTAGCATAAAGGGAGGAATGAGAAATGAAGATCATTTAAAATAATGCTTTAATGAGGGCGGGGCTTCAAGAGTTGGAAGTGTGCTCCTGAACTTCACCCTGCATCTGCTCCCCCAGAGGATACCACCATGGGAGCTGTTTTGCAAGGGACATTTGCACTTGGTATTCAGGTTGTCTCAAGAGTTTATTGGTTTCACTGTTTTTTTTAAGAGCATGAACATCTTAACATACTGCAGCTGTGCTTCCTTTGTTTTTTTTTTTTCCTTTCAGTCTATTTGATTACACTTGCCATTTCAAATCAATACATCCTCAAGTTGTGACCCGGGCTGCTGTGTAAGTCTGCAGCACAGCACTGGAAGCTGATGTTTCAACTCAAACACAGCTGTCCTTCAGTGGCAAATAAAATAATTCCTCCATATTTATTTATTTTTCTATTTTTATTCCATCAATAGACCTCCTGAGATCCATTAAAGGTCTAGTATGAAAAGAGGTCAGAAATTTTCATTGAGGTTAGAAAAGATCTTCAAGTCCAACCATTAACCTAGTATTTATCCTGGAATCCCCATATTCATTTTTCTGGGTAGGGAGGACTTTTGTTGAATGTATAGAAATAAAATTTTTACACCTGGCTCACTTTAAAATGCCAAGAATTTTTAATTTGTGGTAGTTTGTTAAGCCAGATGGAAATAATTCTGGTAGAATTTTGCCTATAGAAAAGATTTGTATTATAAATTCTCAGTGCTGAAATTAAGGTAAATGCACTCCTAAATGAAGATGCAGGTATTGATACATTTACAGGCTAAAATGCAGAAAAAGAACAATGCTCACTGCTGCGTGCAGCTGTGTAGATCATATCTGGAAACCTGTGTCTCAGACATCTGTGAGGAGAGCGCTGGTGCTAGAAGAGGCTGAAGAGTTGGTTTATGTGTTGACGCAACTTTTTCCATGCATCTTCATCATTCTTGAGTCAAACCTTGCTCAACACTGAAGCCCTGCTGGAATGGTTCTCTAATTTTTTGTTAAATCATCAGTTGCTAGTAATGCTATGTTCTGAGAATCAGTTTTCAAATGACATTGTTTGCTATAAGATCCTTGCTTTCCCCATGATCTCAATAACTTA